CTGTATAAAATTCCCAATGTTTCTGGAAAACAGTAAGAAAATATACAACATAAAATAGTGCAAATATGAGGTACTTTGGCTCTTACAACACTGAAAGATGATTTTGCCAAAATAAAATAACACTATGAAGATGCACAAACATTTTTAAAAGTCAAAAGTGCTTTGAATGTCTCCTTTATCTCTTTGAACTCTTTTGTTTAACCTTTCTGGGTTTACAAAAGGTGTAGAAAAATATTGCAAAAGCTTTATGTTTTATGTTGACTTTGAATTAGTTCGAAGTTGAGCTTGAGACTCAGCTGGAACACAAACAACAGCATAGCAACATAACTGAGTCCTAATTTCCAATGTTTCCATTTGGAAAACAGTAAGAAAATATACAACATAAAACAGTGCAAATATGAGGTACTTTGGCTCAACACTGAAAGATGATTTTGCCAAAATAAAATAACACTATGAAGATGCACAAACATTTTTAAAAGTCAAAAGTGCTTTGAATGCAAAAAACATTATTCAAGTGAAAAAAACTGAACAATGAAGAACAGCAAGAGCACAACTGCATACTGTACAGTTTTACTAGCACAGTATGTTTTCCAGTACAGCCAATGCATAGGACAGTAAGGTGAGTTTTTGTGTATTGATGTCAAAATCACCCGCTCGGCATTTTGGGCAAATTGCAGAATTTTGCTGCCATACTTCAATGCAGGACCTGCAGCCAACAATGCTATGGCAACACGATGAAACCATGGGCTCAACCACTGGACCTGCAAATCTGAATCAGAAAACAAATGTAAAAATAAAATAAAAATACAGTAATTGCATAAGTGGTTACATTATCATTGGAGTCGGGGTCTATTTTCTTCATGGACATGGGTAGATGAGTTGCACTGACATCTGCCTATAGAAGACAAAACTTTTTTTTATTTACCCTTGCAGACAATACATGCGAAGGCATCTTTCACAGCAGCTGCTTCAGCCTCTGTCAAGGACACTGTTGTTCTTCAGTTGGAACTTGCCAGGTTTGTCAGCTCCTTGATTGTAGTTGACACCTTCCTGTGCTGCCAGGACCACCTCTTCAGTTGTATCAAACACTGCATCTAGACCATTATCATCTCGCCGACTGAAAAACAGGCAAAATATACATGTTATAACCTACTTGGTCTCAACAAAATCCTAACCAGTAAAAATGCAATCATTGTAACCAGTTGTCCTGGTGCCTGTGTCATATTTCAAAACCAGCATTCTAAATGCAATAACGCCACCATTGCAACTTCCATTGGTATGTCAAACTAATTCATACATAATGATTAATCAAAGTCTATCAGTTAATGTAGTCATAGTGATCCTAACTCTCATGCAATGGAAATTCCAGAGACTTGAATGGTCTATATTGGCAAAAATTCTCACAAAGACAGTCCTCTTCACTTGTTGATTGAGGAGAATAGCCATACAAATATGCCATTATGATGACTGACAAAAAAAAATGCTAATCAAGTTTACATACCTCAGTCTCCTCTTTTTGCTTCCTTGTAACTGCTGCAAATCTCCTTCCTTCACAGCACAAACTTTCCTTGCATTTTGCATCCAAAAAGCTGATCCTGAAAAGAAAATAGTTTAATTAGTAGTAGGGGAGAGTGGGGTAATGTGAGACACCCCCTGTATCTAGGCAACGGTACACAGTTGTGGTCATGTGACTATTATGTTTTCAAGCCCCCCTCATTTCCCCTTGGTCATGAAAGAGAGGACCTCATGGTGCTGTTGTAAGCATGTTTTTTTCACAAAAATATATTTTTTGCCGGTAAAAGTAAATTTTCTTGCTGTCAACTTAATCAACTGCTGTGCCAAAGCAAATTGATTTAGGTAGAAAAACTTATATCATACATGTTGATGAACTACCAACATATAAAACCATGTGATGATGCAGGCTGAAGATCAGCCTGAATTGCTAAGAGAGGTCATTTTTTCTAAAATGGTGGTGGTGGGGTAAAGTGAGACAAATGTTGTGGGGTAAAGTGAGACAGTGTCTAATGTCTTTAGTCCATCATTGCAAGTGTTACATTCTTTGCCATTGTCTGCTGGGGTAACAACATCAGGGACAGGGACAGGAACAGAAATGTAGCTCTGTGATGGGAGGGGGAGCAGAGCTGGTGGAGGCTGTGGTTAAGTGGAGGATGGGGTGTAAGCTGAAGGCCATCCTGGGTGACCCCCAACACCCTCTACACAAGACTCTCACAGGTCAGAGGAGCAGTAACAGGCTCATCTCCCTGACCTGTTCTGTGTCTTTCTGTCATTTGAATGTTAATTAAAACATTTTAAATTATATTATGTTGTATTTGATTTTGTTCAGAGTTACTTTCAAGTGTTTAGAAAAAAAGTGCTAAATTGACTAATGCCCATGATTCTGTTACTGGTCCAACATTAGTTCTGGAATGTGTGGTTGTCAAGCTAGCTGTCAGGATTCTAACTGTTACAACATGTATTGTTATAGTAGTTTCAGAGTGGAAAAAGTAAGTGGATCACTTTACCCCATTGATTTCTCTGGTCTGTCTCAGTTTACCCCTGAGCTGGGGTAAAGTGAGACACAAGACCACTTTTTCAAAAACAATCATATTTTCACTGCCCTTCATCCTGAATACATTCTGAAAATTTCTATTGCTAGGAAACATCCTGAATTAATGGGAAATGTGTAAATTTTACTGATATAACATTTTAGCTTGCTTAGAGGGGAGCAAATGTAAAAAGTGTCTCACTTTACCCCACTCTCCCCTACATAAAGTATACAATTTTTCAGAAAAAGGGGTAGTTTTGTTAAAACCAGAGGGTTATAAATATTCATTTTTATTTATTAATTTACCTCTGGTTCCCTCTGTGTCCAAGATCTGGTTTCCCTGACCATCGGTAAGGATGACCTAGTCCTCTTGTTCAAGGGCATCATTTACTTTACTTGTGATGCCCATGACAGAAGCCTCAAATTCCGAGAATCGAACTGTCAGGGTTTTGTTTGTTTCCAATCTGCCATCCGCAAGATCAGCAATGAAGATGGTCCTGAAGATGAAAATAATTTTGAAATTCATTGTACATTCTTGTAATACAAACAGAACATATCAAATTCACAGCAATTGTGATAGATAGATAGATAGATAGATAGACAGACAGACAGACAGACAGACAGACAGAGTCATATTAGCATGATGCGCCTATCTGATGTGTTAAAGTATTTGGTCACCTTTGAAATGTCTTAGCCACGGGTGCTCTTGGAGAGGGCCTTGCTGTTGCAGTTGAAGCAGAGCCATGAACTGAGCCCGCAGCAGCACTTGCTGGTCGGCGGAAGGAGAAGCGGGTAGGGAATGGTCCAGGCACACTGGCTTGCTCCCCCACATTGTCGCTCTCTCCATGCACTTCATAATGTCCCCTTACTGCAAGGTCAACAGTTCTGAATTGACCCTCATTTCCAGGGAATATGGCCATATTGTTATCATCGGTGATGTACAGACTGGAGTTTTGAACCTTTGAAAAAGTAGAGCGAGAGGTTTATAAAAAATGTAGGCTAGGTTACGTTTTGTGGTTACAAGTAGAGTGCAATTTCACAGAAAAGGTTCTTTGTGAAAATATATACCTGGAAAATCCTGCTTATTTTTTCGGTAGTCATGTCCTCCTCCTTTAGGGTGACACGCTTCGCTCCCCGAAACAACACATAACTCTCCATGGCTGATAGGGCTGATGGCTCCTGGCTGCTGGTCAGATCGATAGATCGTTGCGGCTAGCAATGTTTGCTAATGCTCAAAAACTTCCGGGTCACGTAAACCCGACCAATTAAATATTAAAATCAAATTCAGTCCTGTGGTCCATTTTTCCATTTCGTATTTTTGATCTGAGTCTAAAATTGAAATATGAAAAACCAGGCATTTTTTCATTTTTTGTGTTTGATTAAAAAATGAAAACAAAATAATCCGTCACTTTTTCATTTTTTGATTTTTGATTTACAATTGAAAATAGAAAGAACGAATGATACACGGATT